AATGTGTAATTTGACCCTGTAAGATACTTGAAATTGTCATGTTGACCGTATTTGACCACCAAATAATCATAATTATCATCCTCGATGTGATGAAGCTAAAGCGTAGGTTCAATTAGGAAGACTAGCTTTACATTCATTCTCTCTTCAACTACATGTTATAAGCTGATTACGGGCGTCCACTGTAACCAATTACATTTTACCAATCACCAGCAGCCAATCATCGCGCTGCACTCAAACTTTAAACCAGTTCTCCTCTCTCCTGCAGTCAGCTGTCATTTTTTGTAATGCTGCAGCCCTCCGCCACCTCCAGTCATCATATCTAGCACCCAGGTCTAGCTCATCAGAGGTCCAGTCCTTATCAAATCCAGATCCTCTTCATCCCTTCTCCTCATTCAATCCAATCCTATCAACATCACCACCAGTGTCTAGACCCCAGGAGGGTTCCCTATTATGGCTGCACCTCCACCCGAAGATATCACGATTGGGGTCTAATCGCCAAAGACCATTCAAATTTCATTCATCTTGTGCACATCAACAAAATGTTTTATAAGTCTCTCCTGATTGAAATGATATTGAAGGTGAGCTTAGTCTTTCTGTGCTGAACAAAAAGCACCTCGTCAGAAAGATGTCTTTTGTTTTTTGCATCTTATTAGTTAAACCCTAAATTACTTATTAGGCGCGTTCACACCGGAGTACTTTTCCCGTTTAGTTCCGTTAGTACCCCTTATGTCGCGTTCACATCAAAAAGCGTACTTAGTGCCGGGAACTTTTACCCCCATTTTTAGTGCCTGCTGAGAGGTGGTACTCTCCTGGGGGAAAAAAGTGCCCCAGTTCTGATTGGCTGGTCGAATTGCGAACCACGCCCCGTAAAACTCTGAAATGTTTTGTAGAGCCGCCATTTTATTATCCTCGCATTAGCATTATTAGCATTAGCCCAGCGCACAAACGCAGAGAGACTAACTTATGGCAACACAAAAGAAAACATGGGAGCTGAGGAGGTGTCGGCGTTCTGGCGATTTACTCGGAAGGCTCCGAGGACTTCCGGCCGGGGACTTCGGGTGGCAGTATACGCCGTGAAGTTGTTTGCGGCCTGCCAGTAAACCCAAAGCAGAAGAAGAAGAAGCGACGTCATCGGCTCATTTGCGTAATCTTCCCTCAGGGAACTTATTCCGGTGTGAACGCGATCGGCTCTTAATTCCATAGGGGAACTAAGTGCTGGGAACTAAGTACGGCAAAGTACTTGGTGTGAACGCGGCTCTTGTACTTTCTATTATAATACTTTTGGTTGTGGTCATGCGGTCAGTGTCTTTGTTGATGCTGTATGGAATATGTGCCTTCTTGCTTGCCGATAGTGATTTTGTTTCAACTCGCATAGTAAATAAAGATATATTACATGTGCTATGGTGACCCTTTGAGAAAAAACAGCACTGCAGTTCCAATTGTGGTGCTACTCATCCTAACTCTGGGTGTCACCAAGTCCGGAAACGTTCACATTTGACTCATAGGGGCTTTAATGATGTCAGCTGGAGGGGCTGGTGTCGGCCACAAGCAGAATGAACCATTCCCCCGCTGTCCTGCAGGGAGGCAGCTTTTCACAGAGTTAAGTGAAGGTGATGGTTCTCTCTGGGACTGACACAGTTTCACAACGAGCATCTATTAAAGTGCTGCGGCTATGGAAAACTTATAAACAGCCGACTAGACATTGGTTTAATGAGCTGACATTTCCTGACTCCACATTTCTTTAAATAAGGACTTTGTTAACTCTGACAAATAAGCCAACTATAACACAGGAGACACAAGCTAAAAGTCAGAAGTCAACTGCTGCAGGCTGATTATAGAAATAGGTCCTTTTTTTGTGTTTTTTAGATACAAGATGACTCGTATGACTTCACAAGCTATCTTACAGCAGTGTGTTGTTGATGGCACACAAGGTGCTGGCTTTCTCGATCTTTGCTTTTCAGTCATATTACGGGGTTGGGTCTTAAGGGGTAGCAAAGTAGCTCTGTCAGTGGGTTGGTTGAACCATCATAAACGTGCACATTTGTTTTACTTTAGTGCCAAAAGTAAAGATTTTTCAATATGTTGTGCCCAAAATTATTACAAAACTAATGTTGTTTACAAATAGACACACAAGCTCTATGATGGCAGCTGTGGTTCATCCAATATATCCAGAGTGATAAATCATCAAAGACTTCACAATGTGTACCTATAAGTACATGTACATAAGTGTCACACATTTATCAACATTATATCATAATCACTTCTCATCCACATTCAATAATATTGCAGAGGAAAATATGCATTAGATTGTGTCGTTTTTTTTAATTGTTGCGTCAGTATCTAGAAAAATAAACCATTTCCTGTTGACCTCAGATAAACATGCCTGCAGACTTAAAGTCAGATTCCATGTGATAGTTCAAATAATATCTTCCTTCAAATTATTTAAGTGATACTTCACACTTTGCCTACTTCTATATTTAGTTACTGATGGCTTGTTGCATCTACCAGTGTGTGTGTGTGTGTGTGTGTGTGTGTGTGTGTGTGTGTGTGTGTGTGTGTGTGTGTGTGTGCCTTGACACATTGGCTGTCTGATCTGAAGAAGATAGTCTGCAAATGTGTAACTGAAAGTGAGCACAGGACCACAGGACCACACACACGTGTTGCGTGATCAGACTCTTCAGATGTGTGAAAGTAGAATGGAGAAAAAAAAGGAGAAGATGCCCTCACTTACAAGTTAAATTAGACTTTAACACACACACACACACACACACACACACACACACAATAAAACATTTTTTTTTAAAGTGAAAAGTGTAATTAACTCGCTTATATTTCTACACATATACTAAACAAGTCATACACTAATATGCTCTATACCTCAAACATGTTCACACACTGACAGATATTACACACTCACACACATGACAGCTCTTTGACACCCTCCACTTTAAACTGAGAAGAGGTAATGTGAGGAAACACACACTGGGTGTTACTGTCAGGAAAACTACTATAACACACACACACATAAACACTCAGTTTGCTTGGCATGAGTGGCCCAAACTGAAAATGAATAAATACAATTAGTTTTGACTTGCAACTGCACTTCTCAAATTCCTCTTTTCAAATTGTAGCTTCAGATTCACGCTGTATAACATGGTGTTAAATATGGAGCTTCAGATGGTTACAGCAATCAATTTAAATTCATCCTACACAGTGGCGTGGTGTAATCACAATGAGCAAACTCACCGAAAACCTATGATTCATATTATGCTGCTGTGTGCCCTGAGCGCATGCTGTTTAGGATGCAAGTTTGTTGTGTCTGAAAAGCAGCGAGGGGTTGTAGGAAAAATCAATGCACTATAATGCTGCAATATTTCCAGCCCCATCAATAAAGCCGGCTGCGGTTCACTATCAGAGTTGTTCTAGCTCTACAGTGGCGTGGAATGAAAGACTGCAGAGCGCTGTTGTATAACATGGACTCTTGAAAACGCTGGAAATAAAGTCCTTGAAAAAGTGATTGGGCAAAGTCCATGCAACACTGAAAACATCAGGATTTAGAGAGCTCCAAAGTTATTAAATAAGAGCTTTTAGTGCAGACCGTAATGAAGTACATTTACTCAAGTATTGTGCTTTTTTTTGTATAGGTATACTTTATACTCTATAATCCTACTGAACTACATTTGGAAGAAAATATTGTATTTTATTACTACATTACATTTAGTTACTTTATAGAACAAGATTGATACAAAATATAAATCTACTAATATATTAAAAAGGTAAATATATCCAGCAGCAGTATATAAAGAAATTAAAATGAGCTCCAACTTACAGGATGCGACACATTTGTGCATCAAAAATCGTAAATTGCAATTATGACGGATACAATTTTGATGCCAATAATCGTGTATTTAATTACGATTTTAAATGAAGGACTTTCACTTATAACATAGTATTTCTACAAATTTGTATTGATACTTATACTTAAGTAAAAGATCTGAAAACTTCTTCCATCCCATGAGCATTTTTTTAAAACGGGTTTCAAAAGTCTGTTGGTTGTTTGTCGTTAGGACAGAAATATCCAACAACTGTTTTCATGGATGCTGAAACAAGTTATGAGAGATGTTCATAGTAGTGACGTTTCCTGTAACCCCAACATAAGGTTGGATGAATTTGTCAAATCTCCTACTGACATTGTTTTCCTCCTCAGGATGAACTAAAATCACTTAGTTCATCTCTAGTGTTGTTTTAACTTGAGCCATTGTCAGGTCAAATGTTGTGCAGTGCTTTGTTTTAGGACCAAACACCAGTAAGACTATGACCTTCCCTCCTGGAAGATGTATAATAGATGTCTAAATGTGCCAACGACTGTTTTCAAAATCTTCTCAAAAATGTAATAATTCCCAACAATGAATATTTTAGCTAACATGATGGAGAACTATTCTTAATCATTCTTCCTATCTTTAAAATGTTAGATCTCTGTTGCAGTAGTACACATTAGGGGTGTAACGGTTCTCAGAATTCACAGTTCGGTACGGGTTCGGTACAACAAGAAAAACCAAAAAAAAGTCCCAAATGCATAATTCCAGGTTTGTTATTTATTTTTGAACAGTAGTGCAAGTTTCAGTTTACAAATAAGGAACTCATTTTTGAATAATTAACTGTATTACACTGCTAAAAACAAACCACAAACAGCACCACACACACTCAGATGGCCATATTATCTATAATGGCTGATGTCAAACAAAAAGGTTCAATAAGCTGTTAAACTAAAAAGAATGTCTTGAAAATATTACATCATAAATAATAATAAAGTGTTTCAAGAGCGCATAGCCGTTGAAATATATATGCCAATAGCTTCCGTTATTTATTTTGGCCTCTCGGCTCTCACGTCTCTTGGCTTCTTAAAAACAGCGGGGATCAGCTGTTGAACTGCTGCCGGGCTCCGGTGATTGGCAAATCTGGGTGATGCCTTCTGATATGATTTAGCATGTTTGGCTTGTGTTACCATTAGCATACCGCACCGCTGTCTAACAACGCCGACACACCGTCCTCGTCCGATCCACCACTCGCACTCCATCTGTAAAGGAATATTTTAGTCTGATGTCTTTGTTCTGTCTTGGCGGTCCTGAGAAACTTCACATGAGTGACTACTCTTTTCCTGTGTGGGGGAAGGGTTTACTGCCCGACGCCTTTACGGGACAGAGCATCTTTTGTTTGTTCATCTGGAATCGATTGGGGTAAAGGCCCGCGTTTCTAGGCTCCGCCCCTTCTTAGAGACCAGGTTCGAGCGGTTCCGTCTTTGTGTGGGCAGAGTTAATTTGGCAGCTTGCATTCAACAGTGCGAGTTGCTTTGTTAATCCTCCGGCCGTTTTGTCTCTCAATAAATATCAGTGTATTGACTAAGGCGAATCCAGTTTCCCTCATTTCATGATTGGCTCAACATTGCTGCAAAGAAGGTGGTTCTAGCTCCTGTGTGTTATCTGAAATCGCCATACTAACTTTTCTTCTTCTTGTATTTTGTTCGTTTTGTTGTTGTGTTTCTTCTTGTTCTTCATTTGTTGTTTAAGGGCGGCTGGCAAACAGCTTTTAGGCGCAATACCGCCCCCTGGATTATAAATAGTGTAGTGGATACTGCCCTGAATGACACTTTTTTCCCACTCATAAAAAAAGGCGTATTCGTCGCGTGACTGCATGTGCCGAACCGTGACGTCCGAACCATGACGGTACGGGACGAATACGGATACCGTTACACCCCTAGTACACATGTATTCCATAGAAAGAGAAAGCTAATTATTATACAAGATATTTAAAAGTACATTATTTAAACCTGCGGCCTCTAAAAGCCCACAGTTTCGTATCTTTATTCTCGATCTGTTCTCTCTGTTATAACACCTTTTGTCTGCCTCTGTTGCTTTTCAATCCTTTTTTTTATCCTTTCTGGCAATTTCCAATGTTCTCCCTTCACACCTACACACTCCCTCCTCTTCCATCCCCCTCTCAACTCCCCCATCCATCTACCCATCCATCCATCCATCCCATTTGGTGGTGCTCTCAGTGGAACACTTGGGCTATTTATAAAAGCATCAAAGCCCACAGCTTCCAACACACAGCCACTAGAGGGGCCGAGGGGGAGAAGGAGAGTGAGGTGGAGGGAGAAGTGTGGAGCTAGGAATGGTGGAAGGATGAGAGAGAAGGAACTGAGACGAAGGAAGGACAGACGGAGGAGAGAAACATTAAGAAAGACGGAAGAAATGAAGGGTGAGAAAAGGGAATAACGGGCAGGAAGGTGGAGAGGAAGTGGAGAAGATGTGGAAGAAAGAGAAAAGACAGGAGGTCAACAGATATCGGGGATACAAAGAGAACACGGGAGGTGTTCAAACAAAAGACTGGATGACACAATCAGATACGTTTGATCCATTTCCCTTTGGATCTGAGTGATTCACCTCTACATCAGTGTGTGTGTGTGTGTGTGTGTGTGTGTGTGTGTGTGTGTGTGTGTGTGTGTGTGTGTGTGTGTGTGTGTGTGGATACCAGTTTGTTTGTGTGTGTGTCGGTGTGTAGGAGGCAGGGTTTTGGATCCCGAGACCTCTCCACCCACACAGGTTGGAATTACCGAAGCACCTGAGCTGCGTTCGCCACCGCCAACAGACGCAGATGTTTTGCAAATGTTTACTAAGTCATTTGAACCTGAATAGGCGGAAAAGCGTATCATGTGAATACAGAGGAGCTGTGGGCACGGTGCCCAACAGCAGCTGGTGAAAGCGAGAGACACTCGATTAAACCGGCACAGAAAAGATGCCAGGAGTCAAAGAGAAGCTGGGAAATACAAGTCTTGAATTGTGCTTTTTATTTCAAAGAAGAAGTGCTAATAGCTACAGCCAGCAACACCTTTATGGGCTTGTTTTAGGTGCAATCTACTTTCCATGCCTACACCATTTTATCTCCTCTCTCTTGTCTGTTTTTTCCTGTCCATTATCTCCTCTGCATGGCGGACACATCTCACCCACCACCTCTCTGCTCGAGTGCCGCTCCACAATACCTTTGTGGTTCATTTTCAACCAGCTGCCTTGTTTAATATATTCCATTTTATTTCACTGTCCTCTGGCTGCAGGAATGTACCATACATTCAGCTTCTCTTGAACATGGTTGAATAGATTAAAAGCAAACAGACTGCAAAAAGATGCAGCCATTTGTCTTGATGGCGTCATCAGCGGCATGTTTTCATAAGAAGGCCTCATATACATTATAAAAGGATTATATTTAGGATGCTGAACAGAATACATTATGGAGAACTTACTCTCATTTCTGTCCCAATTTAGCCTTCCTCAATCCTGCATGATTTCCTCTTTTTTTAAAGCAAAGCCAGGCCTGTCTTCTCTGTATCCTGTTACTATAGACTGTATGTTTCATATTACACCAGGCTGCATGACAAGCCAACAGAGGAAACAGAACGTCTCTAAGGACGTTCCTTTCATCCTCCCGTTTTTCCTATCAGCTGCTTCCATTGGAATTTCCTAGGATATCACATGAAATCCTTTCCTTCCTACACACTTCCCACTCACTTTCTCCCTCTTCCTCCTCCCCCTATGAATTCAACCTTCACTTTGCTTCTCCCTCCTCATCTCACCATCCTTATATGTGTGCGTCGAAATTCCTTTTTGCCCTATTTGCCACGTTTCCCACACTTCCTGCCTCTCAGTCCCCTCTCAAGCTCTCTGAGGGGATCATTTGTCCATTATGCAAAGTGTGTGAGGAGAGATTTGGAGGACACTCGACAGCCTGTTACACGCTGAAACCCAACTCATTATTAACACACTCAATTAGGAACATGTGCATAAACACACACAGAAAAAACCGACCGTTTGGAAGAACTAGAGCACAAACAACCGCCTTTAACAAAACACGAGCTCATTAAAATGAACACAAGCTCATACCGACACACAGAAACCTAAAAACTCTCACACATATTTCTTAGAAAACACCACGTTACATAACACAAGCTGCTCCCGCCCTTTGAGTCATTCTTTCAAGTGTACGGGAAGCTGCAGAATCTCCCTGAGATCATGGATTGTTAACAGCTTCAACGACACTCAGAGAGCTTCTCTGACCAAAGATACTGAATACATGCACAGAGTTACACAATGTGGGAAACACAGCCTGCGGCGCTGCTTGGATGCATAGTACAAAAACAGCTCTGTTTAACTTCCTTTTTATTACTAATGTGCATTATTCAAACACTCGTCCAACCAATGAAAAGGCAGAGATGAAAGTAGAGGTGTAGAGGAGTTGTTGTGAATTAACACCCATGTTACAATTCATTAATAATACTAGCTGTTAATTCACTACTTTTATATTTTCACTGACTTTATAATGCTGTGACTTTTTTTTTTTTTCCATGGAAGTGAACTTTTGAGTTATGTGTTTGTGTGTGCTTGCCTCTTTTTCTACTATGTTATGGCGCATTTCCACTGCAGCGGGTAGCCCCGTTTAAGCGTCCTTAAATCGTCCTCAAGCGGCCAGGACAGTTTTTGGTGGCCTTTCCATATAGCGTAGCACCGGCTTGCGGGTACTTTTTCAGGCCCCATAAAATCGTGGTTCTATCAGGCCAGGGCTGAACTAGTGACGTCAACACCCTCGACTGCTGATTGGTCAGAGAGAATCATCACAAGATCACGCGCGAGATATGCTCCTTGTGAGACGACTAAAGGGTTTCTGATCCTGATCCTGATAGACATGTGTTTAAAACTCACCTTCATAGACTTCCAATTTGAGTCTGTAGATTTTGTCTCGTAGAAAACTGGTCTGCTTTCAGCTTCAAATGTGTGTGTGTGGAACTAGATTCCAGACCCACAGTATGGAGTGTAATGTGCACGTTGTGTCTGAACAGCAGTTATTGATTGGTGTGTAATGGAAAGTTTGAAGTGTACGGAAATCCAACAAGACAATCCAACATACATTTCAGGCATGAAATAAGAGTTGTACACATCACATGATCTGAGGGTAGACATCCTGCCTTATAACACCTGGTAAAAGCTGCTGGTACCACAAACAACTGTGCAACAACTCATACATTGGACATATTATAACGTGCACTTAGAGCAAAGTAAACTAGTGTATTACAGTGCAAAAATATATCTTTACTTGATGTAGCTGGAGCAAATGTAACTTCCTTTTTTCACACATGACAGAGCAGAAAAGAGACCAAGAGAAACAAGTAGCACACCGTTAAATGCTGCTAATGAAACTTTGCTTTGCAGCTCATGGGCTTGCACTTATAAAGTGTGGTAAGAAACTCACAGAGAAAGCTGAAGCACCTTGTGAGACAGTAATGGCTTGTCCGCTCCCCTAAACTCACATTAAACAGACGAGCTATAATATACACATCCCCAGCGTCTTATTCATGATATCCCCTTTCATTGAAAGACATGTAAACACACCGTCAGTAAACACTATTTCTCTCAAATCCTGAATTATTCATATAATAATAAACAAAGCAGATATAAATTAACCTAATCATAAACTGTGCATCAAGCTGCATACACACAACCAGCTCCATGTACTTGTGTGAGAAGAACTATGTGACTGTCAAACAAACACAACCCCAGAGGCAAAGCACACCTGAAAACTGATTTCACTTTACTGAGGAGTGTAATGGCTCATTTCCACTGCAGCGGGTAGCCCCGTTTAAGCGTCCTTAACCGTCCTCAAGCGGCCAGGCCAGTTTTTGGTGGCCTTTCCATATAGCCTAGTACCGGCTAGCGGGTACTTTTTCCCTCTTTTTCCGGCCCCATAAAGTCGTGGTTCCCTCAGACCAGGGCCAGGGCTGAACTAGTGACGTCAACACTCTCGACTGCTGATTGGTCAGAGAGAATCGTCACAAGATCGCGCGCGAGTTCATCCCTAGCGTCGCATATATATTTAGAAGCAAGATTGCAGCATTTTTATAAACAGCATTTTGTAAACGGATGAGCTACAAAAATGGCTACGTCTAATAAGAAAAGCACACCGTGGTCGACCGAGGAGGTGACGACGTTCCTACATCTCATTGGGGATGATCAAATCCAGCGGGAGCTCGACAGAACAACTCGAAATGTGAACAAAAACAAAGCCGATCGCCCCGCCTACACTGCGTTGCTACCCCAGGTCCTAAACTGTAATGGAAATGCGCCACGGCCTGGGCCGGCCAGCGAGGCAGCCCGAGGCCAGAGCGAAGACGCTTAGGGACGCATAAACGAGGCTACCCCGCTGCAGTGGAAATGCGCCATAAGTGTGTGTGTGTGTGTGTGTGTGTGTGTGTGTGTGTGTGTCCTTGCGGAGGAATTCCCTTTCTCCCCGAGCTCTAGGGAAATGATACCCTGCTCCAGACGGACAAATTGGCTGGAGACTAACTTAGGACACAAGCACACAAGCACACACAAACAAACGTAATGGACGAAGCAAACTGTTGCCTATCTGCCTAGATCATTTTCTCTCTCAAAAACGCATACGTACATCATTTTGGGCACTGGTGGTGCAGTGATGACATGTTTTAGTGTCTCAAGGGCTCCTTCGGCAAAAAAGGGATTTTCCATGGGATTTTGGAATATCGCAGTAAATAGGATTCATGGCAAACAGACGTTTGTGATAGCCGCATATTTTGTTCAGCAGGATAATCTCCACATATTAATACGACTTTTATGATTTTTTTTAAGCATAAATGCAATCCCCAGACATCATAAGCTAAAGTTAGGCTACATACAAACTACATCACATTACTTCACGTCTCCATCGCTAAGCTAAAGGCGGCTAATGTTCGGCTTGATTATTTTATTCATTTATTAGCTAATGCTGCTTTGTAGACAAATGTAGGATTCGGAAATTCAAGTGGGGGTATTTAATGACGATATTGAAAATCTTGTATTAATAAAAACTGGTCTTACTTCATCTAACACATTGAAAGGGAACCTGGAAGTGCTTTAATGCTCGCTCATGTCTGTGTTTAAGGACTCATTCCTGCACCACTGTACTGTAGGGAAATCTGAATAACTCTCCTTTCCTCTTCCCCAGTCTTCTATACACTTCCATCAATGTTTCCTCCTCCCTGGTGTCAGAGTACAATAGGTGCCCCGTCACCTTCACCCACACACCCTTCCTCACCTGAGGGTCCCTACAGTGCAGCGGTTGCTTCCTCTAAAGGACACGATACACACCGGCCAATTACCATCCAACCCACTGCTGAGCTGAACAGCAGCTCGTCCATCCCACAGCATATAGACGGCTGCGTCTTAATAACTCACTGTTGCTAGGAGACGTACAAATCCTTCAACACATGCAGTTGGCTGTTAACACAAGTGGAAAATACATTGATTTTAAGCTAACTGATGCCCTAATGCATTTTTGACAACTTGATTTATTTTTCTGAAAGCTTATGTCATTCCCTGTGGCGGCTCGGGGGTGTAAGAAAATATAGATACACTTGAGTTTTGCCACATGAACTGTATTGCTTTTAATTAATAGTTTATATGCAGAAAGGTTGGCAGATAATGGTTCATTCTATGTTGGGTTTTACAAAGACTGTGAGAAATGCAGACCCAATCCTTACATAATCCAAATGTATTGAATCTAAAGCCCTCTTATACAATACCTACCGTATGAACAGATTGAACAGATTCAATGCATAGCCAGAGTTGCAACGCCCATAAAGAGCAAGCTGAATCGGTCTCAAATGGTGGAAATTAGTTCAGAGAAAAGCTATATTCTCATAAGTGCAACAGTGCCTAGAGTAGAGTTTCATCCGTCTTTTCTGAGTAGATGAAACCACCCACAGCCACCAAATCGGATGTCACGCTAGGTGTTATCATTTCAGGAAGTGATGAAGTGATAAAAAATGAACACTTTTTGTCTCAAGCTTTATCCTCCATGAGGTTAACTGTTTCTTGCTTGCTTTTCTCTCAAGTACACAAGTAGCTAACATTAGGCTATGAACAGACATCACGTTTGCATGGCTGTGCATCTCCACCGCTAAGCTAAAGCTGGACTCATCGTTTATTAAGTCACTTGTTTGCAACCACAGCTTTGATGATGTCGGACATTCACCAGTGTGGTATATTATATCATAGAACAAAATGTGACATTCTCTTAAGCTTGTATTAACCACAGTCCGTATTTCAGGCTTCTTACCACAAACACAAGAAGAGGGACTAGGAAGTGGTAAAGTGCTTTTCTGGGTTTTAGGACTCATTACTTAACCACTCTATAGAGCTGTACTTTTCCTGCTATGAAATTGTGAAAAAGCCCCGATTGATTATACATTTGATGCGTTTAAAAAGAAATGGAGTATTATTATACAGCACTGTTTCATGCCGACTCACTTCCTTGGTCACCCTCCAACTATCGATACCTAAATATAACCTTCAGTATGCTCCACTGAACAAAGTCCTGCCTCCACTACCAGACTTCTTATTCTTCTTCTGCAACATGTGATTCCCCACAGAGGCTCACCACTTATCTTTAATCGCTTTCTTTATATGATAAACCCGCAGGTACATTTATCTTCAACTCGCATTATATTCTCCAAATAAATCATTTTTAATATCCAAGCCTGCACATCTCACCAATATTTTATAACGTAGGAAATTGTCTTTTCTTTCTTTTCAGCATTTCTTTTGGTGCAAGCTTTCAATGTGTTCAGCTTATGACGATTGCATCACGATTTATAGTTTGGGTAAATAGTTGTATTAAACCCAGTTAAAAAGGAAGGACTGAATAAATAATGACATGCCCTCATTCTTCTTAAATGCCTTTTTCTACTTTATTTTAAATAATTTGTGACTTTTGAATCCGGAACAAGAGCTAAGAGAACTCGCATTGAAATAAAGGAAGTAAAGGGAAAGTGATATGTAGACAATAGTAGAGGTGGAGAGAAAGACAAATAAACAGGTAATAGAAGGATATGACAAAGGAGACTATAAAAAAGGATTAGAGCAATCATCAAGCAACGGAGCACCAGCTAATTATGCAAGTGTGTGTGTTTTTAATCCACGTACCTTGACACTGGAATCCCTGCTTGCCAAAACCCCTGTGGATAAAACATACACAAAAAAACAGGTTGAACATTGTGTACACACACACACACACACACACACACACACACACACACACACACACACACACACACACACACACACACACACACACACACACACACACACACACACACACACACACACACACACACACACACACACACACACACACACACACACACACACACACACACACACACACACACACACACACACACACACACCACACACACACACACACACACACACACACACACACCACACACACACACACACACACACACACACACACACACACACACACACACACACACACACACACACACACACACACACACACACACACACACACACACACACACACACACACACACACACACACACACACACACACACACACACACACACACCTTAGAAAATGAATCCTACAACTCTCTCTTTGCCTCAAGACATGTGCGTAGAAGCAAATGTCAGATACTGTCGCTAAAGCATTTTCCAAAAGAACCCACCTAAACACAAACACACACTGAAGTATGCAGGCAGGGAGGACTTTTGATTGTTGTGTGAACAGTAGAATAGATGCACTGAGGTTGAGTTATGTCCACAAACACACCATAAACTGTTCTGTGAGGCAGGGCTGCAGTTGCCCCAGGGCTATATGGTCAACCACACCTACTCTAAAGTATGGGGAATACTGTGAGTCCTTCAGGTGCATGCATGCATGCCCACACACACACATACACACACACACACACCCACACCCACGTAAAGAGACAACCAGCATTGCTCATTTTCATATTGTGCCTAGAAATAGAACTTCTAGGGGTGGGAAATCACTCACATGTTCTTTTAATTATAACTAATGACCCAGATAAATAGACTTTGATAATGTGAACGGTTTAAGAAATACCCCAGTGTTCATCTATTTAGTTTATAACAACCAGTGAGATCATCCCATAAGATTCCCATGAACACACAAACACACAATCTTTTAGGTCATATCATTTAGCCATTCAACAAGGAGTTAAATAATGGCCATTTTGGGAATAGTGCACAGCACAGATAATAATAAACGGGACAAATTAGGCCAACCTAGAGCCGGAAATTAATTTGATAACCCGGTGCAGTCACTGTTAGTAAACCCTGGTGGGTTGCATGGTGACATGTCTGCACAGGTTATTAAGGGGAGAACATATAGAGAGAAGGAATAGGAGCAGGAAGAGGAAGGCTCAAGTTGAGTTTTGACCCATGTGAGACACTTTTGGTTGCTGGCCGCCATTCAATGTTTGTTTTTTCTCAGTTCCTCTGCCTTCCTAATACCATCAAACATTGGCCAGCAGCTTTCCCTTTCTTACACTCGTGCAGCCCACATATCTCTAGGTCTTTCCTCCAGCCCTGCCTAACACACATAGCATCAACAAGTACATGAAGAACACTGAAATCAAAGTTTATTTTGAGGAATCTGCAACCAGTGAAGAACCTCCCACTTTCTTTATCCTTGCTAGACTACTAACAAACACTACAGCCATTTTGTCTTCTTTTTTAATATAAATAGGCCTAATCGCTCCATCTCTCAAGTTGTTCTATTTAAATTGTCATTGAATCATGAACAAAACATAACTTTATATTCAATTTCTTGTTGCACCTTCTAATAAATATACTTGAATAATCTACTGTTTGAACTATTTCAATTTAAATTAGCAACTATTTAGCAAGCTTCAGAATGAATATATCTTGTATTTATAGCATATTTAGTAGTAGGTTAGTCTATTATAGTGTATTCTAACTTATTCTGTATGTGTTTATATTGTGAACTCTATATATATATATCTTTCTACTGTTAACATGAATATATTTACCTTCTTTAAGTTTATTTTTAATATAATTCAAAACCTAATCTATATATCTATAGATTAGACTATATATCCAACATCTTTCTATTTATTTACCTACTTTATTCCATGACAGCACCAACAATAGCAATAAACTAACTGAAATGAAATCATGTTTCCTCCCCTCACTCACCAGATGAAGTCGGTGCAGTGGCTGCAGAAGGTGGGCTGCTTGAAGAAGCGCGCGATGAATTTGTGGTCCTTCACCTCGTGCACGTTCTTTTGGCGGAGGGCTCCCTGGCGCGCGAAGCCCCGCATGGGCTCCTCGCGACCTCCGTCCTCCCCGTCGCTGCTGGCCGCCGCCGAGTCTGCCATTCTCCCGGTCTGAGAAGCTGTCTCTTATTTCTGACTTTAACGAACCGACGCTAAGTTAGTTCGCGCCTCTGGGGTTGCAGAAGTATTTTCTCCGGGCGCTGCTCCGAGTAGAGAGGGTAGAAACGGTGGAGAAGCAATCAGCTGGTGGTTGTCTTTCGGTAGTTTGTTTGGCTTTTCAGACGAGCTGCCGCCGCGCTGCTCTCCCTCCGCTTCCTCCTTTTCTTCTGAACGCTCACAGACCCAGCGACTACCGGGGTGGGAGAGAGAGAGAGAGAGAGAGAGAGAGGAGAGAGAGAGAGAGAGAGAGAGAGAGAGAGCGGAGAGCGACAGAGAGAGAGAGAGAGAGAGAGAGAGAGAGAGAGAGAGAGAGGTGTGTTGTATGAAGGGTTGAGAGGGTTACTTTTGTATAACACAATGCAATTGAATTCAAGGGGAAATACATATCAATACCTAATGTAAAACAAGAGAACAATGTCAATTTAAAACAGAGGAAGTCCCTTTATTAATCCCCACGGGGAAATTCAGTTTTTCATTGTTGGTTGAATTCACACAGTATACACAGTAGCCTACTAATACACACATGCAATCTGAGAAAAACACATGCATTTTTTATAGAGGTGCAGAGCTTCCAGGTTTTCCTGTAATAATAATAATACATTTGATTTTTATAGCGCTTTTCCTAATGCTCAAAGAAGCTTTGACCATAACTGCTACTGTACCAGGTGGCAGTTATGGTGCCTTGCTCAAGGACACCTCAGCAATGCAAGTGTGTTCCGAAGTGTGCCGCCCCATTAGACATCAATATGTTTATTCTATAGACCAACAGTTAAGGTAAAGTTTAAAAAAGCTAAAATAATCCATTACCCGCCAAGCCTGATTTGTATTATCAGTAATATCCTGCACAATAACCAATCATTTGCTTATATGATTTATGTTATTATTTTGACCACATTTATGTTTTTCTCAACGGCCTGAACATTTCTACCTTAAAGTGCAGTTAAATTAAATCGTTAAATTCGACTTTGAAAGCTGCTTTTCTGTATCAAATATTTAAATAGAATATTTTTAATGGAGAATTTATTTTTGTACCTTATCAATTGCGTATGTCATACTTACAGTGAATGCAAAATGTTAATCTGAAGATCATCCATTAATGCAAATGCATGTAGAGGTTTTTGTTTATACATAAATGGCTTGCCTTCACATGCAAAAGTGATACATGCTCCATTTTGAGATTCATTTTTATCTGGAGCAAGTTATGCAAATGCTGTATACGGAACAGCAGAAGGATCATCATTTCATAAACCAGCACTATAGCAAACACTCAACACAGAGAATGACGTTCAATATTTGAATTTAAAGTGTGTTCCTTTCCAAAAAGAGATAGCTCCCATTTGGGGAAGAAAAGTGCTGGCATTGAAAGCAAGCACAGTTGCTGAATTCTGACTCATCTTAAGACTTTTGCTTTCAAAGGGATTTTGGAAGATCATCATCTGCGATTCTTGGATTCATTTCATTTCTCAAAGTTATCCAAGATGCATTTAAGGTATTCAATTGTATGACTTCCTGAGTCATTTGATCTGAAAATATAGAAAGAGCGAAGAGACCTCCATTTAACCATCTGCATCTCTTAGTATAGTGTAGGAATGAATATGGAATGGGGTGAATGATTGTTACTGCGAGTATGAAACAGGACATCACTGCAACGACTATAGCACATGTCCAGCTAATTTAAAAACAAGACGTGTTAACTACTGACGTGGTAGTATTGATTTTCCACCTGTTTTAAGGCCCCAGCATCTCATTTACAGTGATCCATGCTGCACACACACACCCACTCACACACACACACACACACACACACACACACACACACACACACACACCACACACACACACACACACACACACACACACACACACACACACACACACACACACACACAGGGCCGCCCCTCCCTACAGGCCAATCACGCAGGCTGCATGGGGCCCCGCCTTGCGCAGGGGGCCCCGCCCAGAGGGCCTCAGCTGCTGTGCGCAGTTCTCCGCTCAGTTCTCCGCGCACCCCCGCGAGAGTGAGAGTGAGAGGTGACAAGAGGAGCACGTCTGTAACCCGACACCGTTGCAATGAATCGACATCTGACCAATCACGGCTTTGATACGGCCACTAGTGCAGGTGAAGAGATGTCGGTGAAAAGACAGTTTCAGTCCGGCGCAAAAAATAAAACATAAAGAAACTAGCGCATCACTCGAAGGTGGGTTATTGTATGAGTCAAATGTACAACTTACGAATGTTGTATAAGTCAAATTGCCAATTGCCATCTTAAAACATCAGCTGCAATTCACGACATGAAGAAGGCAGTCTCTGCAGAGCATATAGGCTAATGGAGATGCAGTTATTTCCAGTATTCTTTATTTACCATTCATTATGTGATGCCTTTTATCTGCTAATGTACAGGAGGAAGAGAGATACTGTCTGTCTACTTGGCTTACATAACAGTTAAAGTTTACAGCCTAAAAAACATGGAGCATTTGTTCCCCTTTTATTCATTTTTATGTCAATTTGCATATTTCATGGTGATGCTCAGCCTCTCCCCTTAACTCCTAACAGTCATCATCATGGTGACGCTCAGCCTCTCCCCTTAACTCCTAACAGTCATCATCATGTCAACCACAACACAGAGAAACACTGATAGAAATGTGTGTGTAGTTGTTGATACATTGCTGACAGAGGGAACTAGAATACAGATTTAAGAAATATCAGTTTTTGAGCATGTCATAAGCATGTTTTGTCTTGACTATATCACAACTATATTATAATAAAACAATATAGTATTTGTATTATTGAATTGATTATGATTATTATTATTAGTAGAAGTAGTTTATTTGCATTAATTATGTTTTTATCTTTTTGATGCTAGTATTTGGCAGGAAATGCAAAATTCACCTGTAAACGCATACTGAGCGACATACATGCACATTTACCATTTACCTCACTGTATAAAAAAGTAACCGTTGATAATAATAATAAACAGGAATTATATTTGCAAAGTAGCCTACTTTGTTTCCAAAAAAAAATGTTCACTCCTGTCGGTTGGGGGGGGGCCTCATCTCACAATGTCGCTTGGGGCCCCAAGTTGGCCAGGGGCGGCCCTGCACACACACACACACACACACACACACACACACACACACACACACACACACACACACAGACACACACACACATCGTGGCAGTCAGCTGGCAGTGAATGACCTAGATGAGATTGATTTAGCTGCAGGACAGATAACAGTGGGTGTGTTTCAGCCTGTTCTCATCAATACAAGGTTTACTGTAGATTTAGCCACCAGCTCAGATATCATTTCCTAACATTTCTGTTCCCTATTTCCTTGCTTCTTCGTTGATAAAACCTACAAAATTAGAGGAAGTGTTACATAATCGCCTGTCTCGATGGCCGCCAGACTGTGAAATGATAAAATCGGATTAATTTAAAATGGTACCAGGAATCGAGAGACACAGGCTGTGATGTAGTGACACCCTGCTAGTACCTGACTGGGCCTGTTTGTATGTATCGACTGTGACACAGTGACCCATCGTTTTGTACCATAAGCCACTGATCTCTTTCAATTTCATCAATACACCAGATGTGATGTAACTTTTCCCCTCGGCTATTAAACTAGGGCGAGCTTCTATGTGGGCGAACGAGCTCAGATGTCCAATAAGATGTGGATGACAGTAGGCTTGTCACTGGTGTTGTCATTGCCAAAAATCACATCAAATCAAATTCAATCTTTCTGGCGACAAGATTAAAAGACTAAAATAATTCTAGCAGCGGTGAAGCTACTTGAGTTTTGAGCTAACGTTAAATGCCTGTTTGAACCATAGACTGTTGGTTTGAACACACTCAGAGTGACAATATGTTGATGTTTTGCAGGTGTAATGTTAACAATGTCCATCATCTCAGTTTAGCGTGTTAGCATGCTACCATTTACTAATTAGCTCTAAACAAAAAATAGAGCTAAAGCTGAAAATATTATTAGTTTTGCAGGTAATTGGTCACAAACCAAATGCTAGCATGGCTACAAATGTAAGCAAGGTAATTTACGACCTGTTGCCACTGAATTCCCAAGATTGTTGTCTAACTATATAGGCTACCGTAAATGCTAAATATCAGAGTTTTTCTTAGCATGTCTTAAACTCACCATTTTGGGTCGACCTCTAGTTACAGTATGCTACCAGGAGAATTGTATCGTTTAAAAGGAAGGTATCTTCCAAGTATCTTCTCGCAGTGAGCAGCTTAGATAACACAGGTGTAGCTAATTACATTAAAGGTCCCATGTCATGGCCATTTCTACTGATCATAATTCCATTGTTGAGGTCTACTAGAATAGATTTATATTGTGGAATTTTCCAAACTCACATTGGTTTCTCAAACAGCATCTCTGTATAGTATGTGTATTCACTCTCTGTCCTACACGGCTTGTTGGAGCTCCTGCCCCCCCTCCCTGTGAGCCCACTGTGCTCTGATTGGTCAGCTCGCCCACTCTGTTCTGTTGAGTCTACCACCGTTACAGCGGAACATCAGTGATTATGTGTTACAATGGCGTTAGCAACCAGAAAATGACACCAGTAAGGACAAACAGATGAATTCTGCCGTGTTGGCGGGACGTTGCGTGGCTCGCTGCTGCGGACAGTGTGAGCTGGGTTCATTTCCTGCTTGCTGCGTGGGGTCTGCGAGCCATCGCGAATGGACACAGGAAGCAGGGGGGGGGTGCTGAGGGGGCACCCATTTCGCCGCTGAGAGAGTATGAGTTTGTGTGTGTGAACGGATTGGTCCATTTGGCCACATCACTGTACCCAGGAAGAAAAAGATAAATCTCCAACGAGGCGTTCTGGGGCAGCATAGACAGGTATTTTCTGTGTTAGAGTTTTAATCGCTACAGGGTGTACTTTGAGGGTTTGTGACTTTGCAGACCATGCATTTACATGCATAAAAACCTTCATAACACACAAGGGGACGGGTAATAACCTATGGTAATAACCGGAAAAGAATGGGACCTTTCAAATGGGCTAGCCAGCTGACAAAGTAAGATGAAAGCCCTCGTTAGCGTTATCCGTTGCACCTGTGCTTTGATTGCTTTGATCATTTAAAAAATGCCTCGTTTAACTGTAACTGTACCTCTTGTGACCTTTCCAGCAGCAGTCATTTTCATTTTGACTTTGCATAGTATGACCATTGATTGATTGTTTAACCG